AAGAGTCCCCTTCTGGGGCCAGGGCTGGGGCCAGGCAAGCCTCACACAGAGCCTGCCCTTCCCACCCCACAGCAGTGTGGGGAGGGAGGAGGAGAGGGAAGAGTACCTCCCATAATGGAACACAGCCCGCCTCCCCACCCTACAGGGGGGGAGAAGTGGGGGGAAGAGTCCCCCTCTGGGGCTGGGCAGCATCCCATAGAGCCCGCCCTCCCCACCCTGCAGCAGTGGGGGAGAGGGAGGAAGAGTTCCCAGCTGGGGCCAGGCAGCCCTGCGTGCTGGGATTGCTCCTGGTTGTCAGGGAGCCACCAGAGCAGGCAGAGCTCTCCCTGCCACCTCCTCCTCCCCACCTTCCTCCGGACAGCAGACGCTCCCTCTTCCCCCACCCTCCAAACCCTGCAGGCCAAGGTTGGGGTTTAAACCCCTCCCCAGTCTGAGTCATGCCTGCCAGGGCCTGGCCATGCCCCGGCCTCCTCAGCTCAGCTTCCCTGTGGAAGGGAGGGCTGCTCTAGTGCCCCTGGGCTTCTGGCCTGAGCCACTGCAGGCATGTGCCTGCATTTCCAGAATGAAAAGGGAACATCTATCCACTTACAAACTGATTCTCTCTCTGCAGGTTAGACTAACCTGCAAAGATTGAATCAATTCAGGCTCGGGCTTTTTGAATGTCTGTCCCTAGCCCTCGGGACAATATGAAAAGACAGGAAGGGACATAGGCATAGCAAAGGAGTTTCTTAACCACCATGCCTTTATCACTAATGCAGGTGAAAGTATCAATTTAAAAAAAAAACAGTCCTGCCAAGCACCTTCATATCTGATCTCATCTCTTCTGTGAGTCTTGAGTTTTATCAGCATTTCAAACTGGGAAGAATTCCTTCCTCCTGCCTTTCCTCTCCTACAAGTCCTTTTTATACAGAACAAGCATGTAGTCTCTCTGCAAACGGCAGACGTCTGTGCCCATAAAAGCAGGGTCTTTGCTTTGAGCCATGGATTCAAAATGAGAAGCTATAGGCCCACCCAGTTATGCTTGCTTCCTTCTCATGACGTGTACTGTTTCATGACGATGAGCCAGAAACTGAAATTTAAAGTCTATAATCCCCAACATTAGTCTTGATAACCCTCAGACACCTCACCTTCACTGAGGTGTCAAAGATCTTTCCAGATGGGAAAATTCAGTACAACAGGCTACTGGGTGTATCTACGCATGACACTACATCACTGTAACAACACACTACGATGATATAGTGTACATGGGCAAGAACTGTGATGCTACAGCTATGTCACTGTAGCAATGTGCTTCCCCATTATAATGTGTTGCTACAGCAATGTATTGCCTAAAAATAACTATGTGCAGCACGCATGGTGCAGTATGGGCTGTTAGTGCACTGTCTTTTAATACTTCCAAAAGGAAGTAGTAAATGATGGCTCAGTAATAACAGCGCCACAGCAGCATGTGGACATGCACCATCTATGAGATAAGCTTAGACCAGTAGTTCTCAACTTTTTCAGGGTCAGGGCAACCCTCCACCACTTTTTTGACTGTGGCAGCACCCCTACTTGAGAACCATTGTTGGTGCTGCCTCTACTTATCTGAGTGTTTCTCAACTGGGTGTTACTGGCTACGAATAAAGTTGCCCCATGTGCCTGCTCCACAGCCAGTCCAGGAAGGGCTGTGGCACGTGCAAGTGCTCCTCCTGCATCAGGGCTCTGATCAGCCTATAGCTGGGAGGAGATGTCTCATACTGTATAGCCCTTTCTGGTCTGGCTTCTCCTGTGCTCTTCCCAGAAACAAAGGTGAAAGTGTAGAACTGTCCTGCGTGCCTGTTTCTGGGAGGAACATGGGGGAGACCAGACTAGGGGGGAAGGGCTACAGCTAACCCAGTTCCAGCCTGCTTTATGTCATAACCCAATGATTTTAAGTGCCTCGGCACGATGGAATTTTCCTGCCACATGAGTCTCTGTGAACAGCAAAAGTTTTCTGTTGCAATAGAAAACTCCGGTGCAAGAGAGTTCCCGCCATTCGTATGCAAATTTGTGTCCTATCATTGGCCGATTCCAAATTATTCCTACGTGGCAGCTAGGCGGGGCAGCTAGCCGTTGGCTTGTTAGCCGTATAAAATTATGTGCGACTTCCGCCCAAGTCGGAGAACTTTGAGCACGCTGCAGAGTGACTTAAGAGAATTCCTGACTCGTGGCAGAGCGAATCGATAGCCTGATCAACTATCGATTTTTCTCCCCGTCGCCGAACGCTATCCCTCGACGTACCCCTTTTCCTGCATGCCTGGTTCATTTACAGATTCACTGGCCCGGGTTTTTGCCAGCTGGAGCAACTCGTGTAATTATTTAAGCGATCGGACCACCTGCGTCGCGGCTACTAGCAGCATAAGTAAAGCCTTTTTGCAACCAATACGTTTTGTCTGCCTCTCCATTCACCAGCCCACCCAACGGCCGAGCAATTTGTAGATCACCTCAAGTCGGCTCCAGCCATCTGAGACACTTTAGGCCAGAGCCCTAATGCAGCACAAGTGAGTGCAAGGCAGTTTTACCTGACTGCTGTGGCAACAGCACCTGCATCGTGGCACTCCTGAGGGAAGCTCGTGGTACCCCAGCTGAGAACCACCTGTTTAAACACACTGAATGCACTATACAAAATGACCTAAATTATTTCATACTGATTTAAGTTACTCTATCACAGATATACTTGTATTATCCTCAAAAAAATTATAAAACTAAGCAATCTAGAATTAAGGATAAATTTAAAGAAATCCTAAAATGACTATGCATAGATAGGGAACCGATCGTAATTCTTAACTGTTTTTACAGGTAATGTTTTACCAACAAGAAAATTAAATTACTATATACACACACAATACTTTTTATGTGTTCTGTAGTTACCATATGCTGTCCTGTGGTCATTTTAGGTCCCTTTTTCATGATGAGTTCATCTAAATACTCAGCTCTTTTGTCCCAGGTTTTTAGTGTCCGATATTCATTTTTCATTTTTTCTAGTCTAAAGAGAAGAATCAGTCAGTAAGTTTGTATCTAAACCTGCAGGATTGTTTGTCTGGCCAGAAACAGATGACCAGTTTATTCTGGAGCTAAATGTCCTGGGTTTTGTATTTGACTTGTATTTAAATAATTACATAAAAATGGTTTACATAAAGTTAAAGGATTTATGCATACCAAGGTGCGCTAAGGCCAAGAGATCTCCCTCTGTGGCTATGCCTCCTGTTCCCCATGCCAGCCAACCCCTCCCCTCCCCTCCCCACCACTGCTGGCCAGCCACTTCACTATACCTCAGTTTAATGGGCCCTGCAACCCCCCTGGAACTCAGCTCTGCCCTGGTGTGTGCTCTGTTATGCAGTGAGCATGCTGGATCAACCTCGTGTCCTGGCTATTCCTTCCCTCCCCATCCTAGCCTACACAACTCCTGCCACCCCTCACCCAACTCCCTTCCCCTGACCCAATCTCAATTCACTGAGATGCATGCAAGATTTTGGTTCTTCAATTTTCTTTTTTTTCTCTCCTTTCTCCTTACTGTTCCTGGCCCCTTCACTTCAAACAGTATATTCAAATAATTATGATGTCATAGGGATAAGGGAGACCTGATGGGACTCCACCCATGACTGGACCACGGGTATAGATGGCTATACCCTGTACAGGAGGGATCGTGTAGAGAAAAGGGGCGGGGGTGTAGCTCTCTATGTTAAGGAAAGCTACCCGTCCCTGCAAGCCGATATTGGCGACCAGGGTGGACGGCTGGAGACCCTCTGGGTTAAAATCCGTGGGGAACACGGCACAGGGGACACAATGGTGGGAGTCTACTACAGACCTCCCAACCAAAGTCCTGAGCTTGACCAGGAGTTTGCCCAGGAACTGGCTGAGGCCGCATGCTCCAGGACCATGGTTGTCATGGGTGACTTCAATTACCCGGACATCTCGTGGGAGGATTGCTCAGCAAAATCTGAGCGGTCGCAAAGCTTCCTCTCGTGCGTGGATGACCTCTACCTGACTCAAGAAGTCTATGGGCCAATGAGAGGCAAAACGCTGCTCGACCTGGTGCTGGCTACTGGGGATGACCTAGTCGGCGACCTAGTGATCGATGGGGAGCTGGGGGACAGCG